TTTTTTTTACCAATTTACATGTTATGGTATACTCCTAAGAGACCAGGCAATATTTGCAATATTTATAAACAGGATAAGAAAAAAATAAAATTTTGGTCCCATTCTTTTTCATTAAAGAATGAAAAAAGTATATATTCCATCCTCATTTGTGTGAAAAAACAAATTAATATCCATACCATCATTACAGTACCAACCAGACCCAACCTGACAGAAAGCAGTCCCAGAGCAGTCCCTAGGACTGCTTTCTAAAACTGCTTTCTAGGACTGCAAGAGCAGTCCCACAGCGGAACCAGAGCAGTCCTACGGCGGTCCCAAAGCAGTCCCAAATATATAACAAAGCTTTTCCACTCAGTGAGTATCAGCCATCTATAGGGATTGGGTAGATGGCTACCACTTTTACCATACAGAGTGTATTCAGTTAAAGAAATGTTGATTTTTTTTTTTCAGAAATGTTTCGGAATTTTTAATGTGATTTTGGATTTCGTGCGACTTTAAAATGTATGAAAGTTGTATAAAATGAAGAATATGAACCACTGATTGATTGATTGTATGTTGTTTTACGTACCATTCGAGAATTTTTCATTTATATAGAGACGTCACCCTATACCGGTGAAGGGCTTCAAATTTTGACCTTTACTCGGCAGTCAGGGCCATTGAGCAGTGAGGGATCTTTATCGTGCCAACGCCTGCCGTGACACGGGGCCTCGGTTTTTAAGGTCTCATCCGAAGGACCCACAACTTTCACTTCAAAGTGCCGAGCGCATGGCGAAGGAACAGTTGCTACCCATTTTTTATCGACTATGGTCAGTTGCGGCCGAGATTCGAACTCACGACCTCCCGATCACGGAGCGAGCGCTCTACCGACTGAACCATAATTCATTTTGAAGTTACAGAAAGATGAGCAATTTAACACAAACCTGGAAAATCTTATTTAATTTATTACATTTATTTACATTTCGAAATAATAAAGAATTTTTGATACATTACTACTGATTTAGAAAGAATTATAGAGATTCTGATACTGTTCGAAGACTTGAATTTTCACAGAAAGCATCCGTCATCATGTCCAGGTCAGTCAATCGATATTGGTGTATTCTCTTAATTGACCATTTATTTTTTAATGAAATATGGCAAATTAAAATTGTCTCTTGTTGTTAGAAGACTTGAATTTTAATAGAAAGCATCCATAATTATGTTAAGGTCGGTCAATTGATATTGGTATGTTCCCTTTCATGTAATTGACCATAAGCTTTTTTCTTTTATATGACAAATTCGGTATTGTAATTCGTGTAACAGCATGTGCTTTCTAAATCTAAAATGATATTTTGTTAGAAGGCTTATTTTTTCACAGAGAGCACCTATAATCATGTTAGGGCCAGTCAATTGATATTGATGTGTTTTCTTAATTAACCGTAACCTTTTTTCTGTGAAATATGGCAAATTTGGTATCGTCTTTCTTGAACTAGCAACAGCTTTCTGAATCTAAAATGATATATTAATTCAATTTGGAAATGTTAAGGGAGGCAAAAGACCTACAGTTTTGCACTCAAGGCCAGGTCTAGGTTGTTGAAAAAGGAGGAAACTGTGATTTGAGAGTTTATTTCAGGGTTTTCATCATATATGACTATGTTCTCCCACTTCATTATATAAAACACATACGTATAAATATTCAAAAGATAATATTACGTGTAGGTGCCATATTTAGGTATTACATACATGACGTATTTTTTGCTAATTTATGTTCCGATAATTTTTGTTTCATACCGTTTTATATTAAAGAAAAATATATAATTGTTCATTCTACATTACCGTTTAAAAAAATCCATGTCTCATCCTAATAAATCCACAAAAAGTACCAGTCCAATAATAAATTGCACCTGTCCCACCCTGTTGATAAATATTGCTTGATCCCTCATTTTGCTTTGACTGATTAGAAGTTAAAGATAATGTTACTTTTCTTCATATTTTTTCTCTCTTGAACCTTAATTATAAAGCAAATGTCAATTTTTTTTCAATATCAAGAACATAAATAGCTTAAGTGAAAATGGTGACGATATTGTAAAGTGGTCGTTCTCATAAATCCTGCAAACAATATGAATCGTGAACAGGGTGAAACATACGTTGCAAATCAGTAACGATTAGAAATTTATTCACCATTATGTGCAGAATAATGTAATATAGGATTGAAGATTAAAATTAATATAAAATAAATAATGAAGGTACTTGATAATCATAATTACCGAAGCAGTAAGCGCTTGAACACCCACTGGCAGGCTTCAAAAGGTAGACATAATAAGTCACGCAATTCTTCACTTTGATTTTCAGTGTTTCCTCGCAACATCCCGCCAGACCACTCTTGCACACTGTCCGATTGACCACTCCCTCTGTTGGAATCGGAAGGTCACCTTTGTAAAGATGTAAAGAACAAGAAAGGATTGAAGTTTCAATACAATGATTCTTTGAGAAAAAGAAATCGTCTTTGTTTTCCTTAAGATTTCCTGAATTTCTTCTGACATTGGAAGAGAGAAGGTGGAGTCAAAATTCAAAATCAGCAAAATACATTTCTATGAGGAACCTGTTGTTCAATAGATGTGGCCAAGTGTGTAAGATTCAATTATCTGATAAGAATCCGAAAATCAATTGTTACCTCGGAAATCATTATGAAACAAAATCATCTCAAATATTAGTCGACATTCATTAGAAAATATAGGTTTGAATGTTAACACGCAAAAATGCCAGATCATAAATTGAGGAATTTCTCAAGGTATATGTTAGATTTTAAATAAAAGGAGTATGAGAAATAGATAGACCTACCATCCATCCACAGTGGAAATACCGTTCCACATTGTGTCATTGCAGGACACGTGCGCACGATCTCGTTTCCCGCCAAACTGTCAATACGGTACCACTGTTCTGTCAGAAAGTTGTCACAGATAGCTGTATCAGAGGGTGTCACATTGTAAGCTGATGATCTCCTGATTTGTCCAGACAACACGCTGTATGTTGTGCACCCATCGCCTTAGCGTAAAAAAATTATATTATTTGAAATATTTGTATATCTGCATCACTATTTTAAATTGTTAAAAAAAAATGTATTTGAACATTTCAAAGTGATTAGAAGTATTTTAATCTTAGTTAAAGCACGAATATAAAGTTAAAACCAAGTTATAATGTTCAGTGCTCAATTTTATTATAGATTATCGGGTATTGATCATTATTGATGAATTTAAACATTTAAAAAATATATATATTCTTAATTAAAAACGTAAATACATGTATACAAAATTTGTAAACCTTTTGAAATGAAATTCGTGCCAATTGCATGTAAAAAAAACTTCACGACATTTGTATTCTGGAGTTACTGATGAATATCAATATTATTCCGTGCCAATACTTTACCCATTTATTTTGACTGACATCCAAGGACCTGATACTCTATATATTTAAACACAAGTCATTTAATTAAATGCTCCTTCGATCGTTTTTTTATTACGTGTTGCTATTTACACCATAAATAGTAGTTGATTTAACTATGTAATACCAAAAAGGAAGAAATGTTCTCTATATTTCATTCAATTACATTTGAAAAAAAAGTCGCACATGTAAAACACACTTAACGTAATTTTTATTACTAAATTAAATGAAAACACTAAAATCATTTATGAAATATATTTAATAACTGTATTAAAATATTTTCTCACATTTTCTTAAAATATTGGAAGAAAATTAACAAATTTTGGCTAATATTACTTACACAGAGTAGCAATAGCCAAAAGAGTCGGTTCGGAATAGCGATTTCCGATGTTCTTTAAAAAGTTAGTGTTTATCTGTGTTCAATGTTATTTTTTAAAACGAATCTTGTGTTTCGAAAATGTTGACGACATATGCAGGCATGCTACGCTGATGAAATAAAAATATGGAATTCGTTGAGAACTTACAACCTCTGATGTATAATGAAAAAAAAAACCGGAATGCTTAATAGAAGGTTAAGTTTATTATAATTATTATACATACCATAGACTTGCATAACCAAAAACACCACCAGAAACCAAAAAATACCGAGAATGTGTCCCCCCGAGTCCGCCATGCTGTTCCTACTTCCTGATTATTATTACAATTGTATTGGATGACATAAAAAAGTTTAAATGACTTAGATTTTTAAAACATATCATATACAACTCAACTGTGATAGTAATCAGAATTGTATTAATAAACTACAGCAAATTAAAAAAAAAGTGATGGGTGTTCTCCTTGAATATCTTTGGACAATCGGAAACTAAGTTTGATAATCATATAACAAAGGAGGACAATTTATATTGAATAAAGAGTTGGAGGTAACGTGAAATTTGCATTTATATTCTTTTCCAAATAAAGGAATAATAAAATTTATTTATAACTCTATGTGGTTCTTATTACCTTTATTAAATTTCCTCTCGTTTCTTGAAATTATTATTTCAAGATCTGATATTGATTGAAAGACCCCTTGACAGAATAAATTTTTTCACTGAATTTATAACTATATAATTGAAATGGGCTTTTTTGTTACAGAATTAAAAGAATGTACATGTATTTACATAAAGGGTATATTCCATTTGCCTAACTAATTAAAAAAAGTAAATTGATAATTTCCCTGTTTTTTTGTATCTAAAACAAATCTCTACCAAGACAGGTTAAGTAACAAATACATTAAACATTAGAGGGTGAATTAGATCTAGAGTTTTGAATTTAAACTTTTGAACTTTCCTACATTATTTCTTCATCTTCGCTGGTCCATCTATGTTCTTTCATATTGGCTAGCAAATATTACACTTTCCTTTACCCATAATACTTGCAACCAACCTCCCTCCCCCCCCCCCAAAAAAAAAAACCCAAAAAAAAAACAAAAACAAAACACACACACACACCCTCACACACACAAAACCACAACCCAACCTCCCCTCCCCCCAATAAACAAAAAAAAGTCAAACTCTGTACCGTTTATTCAGTAAAATGATTTTCACATATTTCTCTGACAAAAACCATAATGTTTGTTTTTTTCATGTTTTGAATATGTTGCAACAAATTATCCTGGAATTCCATGATGGATTGATATGATTTCTGTAAAAAGAAAGGATGTGTAAATTGCAAATTTCTTTGATCAATTCCAATTTCATAAATGATGTTTAAAGAACATACTATCAAAAAAATTTTATGAGAAAATCAAAAATATGTACATGTAAATGCATTTTACTGTGTTTCCTTCGGCTTCATATTTGTGTCAACAAAATACTTCAAGAATGCCATGGTAGATTTATAGGATTCCTAAAAAATGGGGAAAAAATGAATCGATTTGGCAAATGAATCTAGTACTCTATGTTAATCACGTCAAGTTTTTTTTTTGGGGAGTAATTTCAATAGTATACTTACCTCATCTTCCCAAGTTAAGGGTTTCTGATCCACTCCGCTCCATATGTGGAGCGGAGTTCATCAGAAACTCTTGACTTGGGAAGATGGCGTTACCTTATTAAGAAAGTGAACATCTTCCTTTTCGTAGTCAAAGACCGTTGTCCCTATGTAATGAGTATTGATTCCTACTGTTCTGGACAAATCTTTAGACTGATAAAACATACAGCGATGTCAAGATAGTTAATGATGAACAGATTACTATTAAGGTTTTGCTAATGATAATTTGTTTTTGTAAAATAGTTCTAATAGAGGCCAAGTTTTGTTAATGATCCTAATTGTAGTGGCCTGAGAGTTGCACCCCCTACATTCAAAATTCTTTGTTAAGGAATTCTGTAGGCACTAAAAATAATATGCATCTATGTAACATCTAAATTTTCAAATTGCCGCCTTCTTCTAGTGATGACCAAGTCAGACATTTCTGTGCTTTATCAAAATAGCCGAATTACAGGAAGTTAGATTGATAGCTCGCACTTCATAAACATATGTGAAATAATTTGAAAATCATTCCAATATACTCGTGGATAAAGGGGCTATTTTTTTTTTTTTTTTTTTTTTTTTGAAAAATATGCTGTTGCAAAGGGCATTTTAATTTGTAAATTTGTACATAGAATAACTCTTACTTGGAAAATTGTTAAGTCAAACAGTTTTTGTTACTTTTCATTACTATGGTTTGCAGGAATGAAAACCTCAGACCAGAACAATATGGAACATTGACAAAATGTGGCCACTGTTAAAACTAATTTTACAAACAAAAAATTTGCCTTTCCAGGAACGTTAAAATATGAGATGGCAGTTTCATAGTATAATTTTGTATCTTTTTTTGAAAGATCATATCATTAACATATTTGAGATAATATTGAAACGTAAGCGATTCGTTGATATCACTGATGAATATGGCTTTACTTTAATACAGAACATGAATTTGAACAGGCCCTGTATTGAGTTTTAATTGTGTTCAGAAGCTTACACTTATTCCTACTTGAGTGAGGTTACAAGATAACCCTGTATAAATTGTCTGTATGAGAGACAACAATGTTGTAACTTCCTGTCTATCAAATCCGTGACTGCAATTTACTACTGCAAATCCCATTTCCTCAATGAACGTGACAACTTCTTGAAAGTTTAACTAAAATGCATTGAAATCAGATTAAAGATGATATACACATGTCTTTGAAAAAAAAAAATCATGCTTATATGTCAAAAATAAAGCAAAGACATACCTTGCCGTTTCCATCTTTATCCAAGCGATTAATAACATCCTCAACAGTGACACCTTTTCCAAAAAGGCGTTCTTTATCACTTTCAGTGAAACTTTTCTATAAAACATATAGCGGAGCAATCATCTCAAGAAAGTTTACTATATTTTAATATTTAAAGAATGATTTCGACGTGAGAACAATTATCTATTTAATAACTGTATTTCATGATCAAAAAAATACTATAGTTTACTCTTGTACATACTTAAATACTTTTACTAATAAAAATTTACTCTACACATATTTTTATTTTTAGAGCCTAATATTTTTTAATTCTACACGAAAAGTGTAAATTTTAGAAATAATGTATGAATAAGCAATTAATATTTTCTTTTATTATCAAAAATTTGCAAGTGAAAATTGGAGAAAATGAAATATAATTTTAATTTAAAATTCATAGTAAAAATACTTTGATTAATTAACTATAATAAAAAAAAATTTGATTTACTATAGCAAAGACTTTGATACTGTAGTTAACTGGTAAACATCTTTGGGAGACTTTTTTCTACTTACGTCATTTAAGATAGCTGTAAGTTCATCCCTACTAATGGTTGCATCACTGTTCTCATCAAATTTTGATGAAAGCTTATGAAATATTAATGTACATTTATTTACTATTTTGAAGCATAAACACGACAAAAATCAGAAATTAACTTTTCTTATGTTGAGATTTCTCCACATTATTTACAAAAATAGTGAAATGGATTTTTTTTAATGAAATCTTCGTGATTTTTTTTTACCTCTATAAATTTATTGATGGCGTCTTTTATAAGTGCATGTTCTTTTCTCAGCTTCATCTCATTTTTCATTCTCTGTGCAGCTTTCCTGTAAACATTACAATATTTCAGCTAATACAGCTCATTTTGAATTGTGAAAATTTATTCAAGTTTCACATTTGAAAACGAGTTGTAAAAATTATATATACCTGCCCATATTTGTATCGGGATACACAACTCGTCTCTTTTGTCTGCTTTCATACACCGCTCTGAAGCTCTGCTGTTCATTTTCACCGTACTGAAAGTCGTTAATAACATCCTTATAAAATAAACTATTACACAGTAACGTTTCATTTGCCATGTTAATATTCCTCGAGTCTTCAACCTTGTGTATAAGAAATCTTATTCTCTTAGTCATTCTTGAACAGATCACTAGTTTTGGTTGCGATGCTTACATTGACACATTGAATACGAGATTTAGTTTTGAATTCACACTACAAAGGTTTCAGTATAATACAACCCGTATATATTAATGTCTGCGATGTAATTGAATACATTTTTTTTTCTTTTTTTTCAGGAAACATTCACATTTTTTATAAAATCATTCTTTTGGGGGTTTATGAACATTTATCATATACTTAGTCCCTACGGGTGGCGTCAAAACCCCATATAAACGACTGGTCGGAATGAAAAAAAAAAACCCATATCACGTTTCAGACCAGCGTACAAAAATGCAAATCAATGTATTACTGGAATAATTCAAATGCATGATGAATAGAATATATATATATATATATTACATCGTATGTCAAATCAGCCTCTGGCCCTCGGACTGATAGGGGTAAACTTGGGCTGATATGACATATGATATGGATTTAAGTATATAATATTTTCTACGTATTAAATACACATGTACAAACATATTGTCAGTATTTTGAGCATCGTTCATATTTACACATGTAAGAGAATTAACTTTATATTTACTATAGACTCGGTCTATTTCTTAGGGGCTCAGTTCAGAATACTCCTTATCCAATTTTTTTTCTAACTCAACGAAAACTGATTTGTAAGCTATATGTCTTTCATTGCTTAATGATTTAAGCAGCGGACTTGGTTTATTGACAAAATTCTTCCTGTAGTAGTGCGTTTGCATTTATTGCTATAATTATTTTTAATTTAAATTCTGTAAAATTCATACGTAAAATTTTAATGTAATACTAGAACAAATTACCGGTTTGGAAAGCTGAAGAATTGATATCATGTATATCGACAGCTTCTCACAGTAAGACTAGTTCTAAAGAACTTACAATTCAATTATTTTTTTTTAATGTATATACCTTTATATAGATACCTTATTGTCTTGAGGTTTTTTAAATTTAGCTATTGACAAAATCTTTAGACAAAGATGTTTTTTTATGAATATCGAAACATCACATTCTTACAAAAGGTTAGATTTCACCTTTAATTAATTGGTTGTACTTTTTGTTTACAAAAACGATTTAGAATGATATTTAATTTTAACCAAATAATTAAAAAAAACATAAAGAACTATATTTTGTAGGTATATCAATCAAAAAGCATAAACTGCTCGTTCAAAATGATAAAAATTTTATGATAAAATATCTTACCAACACAAATCCCAACGTTTTTGCAGCAGTTGATTCATCCCGAGCAAATCTGTGTCTTTTGTCCATTATATAAGGAATTTTCTCCATAGGCTGTAGTCTTTTGTAGAATGAATCTTCTTTCTTCATTGATAACCACCACCCTTATAGAGAATATATAATATATATTTTTACATATATATGAATTTAAAGGTTCAAACAAAAGCGTTTAATCTCTCTCTCTCTCTCTCTCTCTCTCTCTCTCTCTCTCTCTCTCTGTGCAACGACTATTCATTTAATTCCATTTTTTATGAGCAGAAATTTCAGTCATCATCTGCTTTAATTTAAAGATACATGTGGAATACCGTCAAAACACGAAATGGGATAATTAGCCAGAATTCCCCCGTCCATATAGAGACTTTTTTGGCCAGATATTGAATAATGAACGGGTTGCATCAACCCTACAAAAGACCCATACACAAATTCCAATAAAGATAAAATATTTTACAGTAGCTACAATTAATAAGAAGATATTTTTTTATCTACAAAATATTTAGCAAAGATTTTCAGAATTCTGAACCCTTAAACTTAATTTAATTAAATTAAATAAATTTAATGTTATTTTATTTTATTTTACTTTATTTTACTATTATTTTATTTTTTTAATTATTTTTGTGGAAAAGAAGTACTTCTGACCTGGCAAGCTTGCCGACATTCGCATGGCCACTCTGAGAGGAACATTCGGTGTTGTTTTAAGGTGGAAGTACTCCTCCTCCAAATTGTTAACATTCATCACAACGATACAAAGCTCCTTCCCAGTTTTTATGTACAACTGCAGAAAATCCAGTGTAAAATTCATATAAACACTCTTTCCGTGCAGAAATCTTTTGTACTAAACACGATCTTAAATTTCCGCTCTGTGGGTATGGTAGGGTAGTTTCTTACGCATTCATCATTAAAGTTACATGTTCTTTATAAATGATTTTTTAAAAAGCCGTGAAGCACAGAAAGAATAGTTCCTTTGTAAGCAACCTGTGACTTTTAAATAATTTTCCCTATATATTCCTATCTGAAACGTTGATCCCCCACTGTGGCCCTACCCTACCCCCGGTAGTCATGACTTAAACAAATTTGAATCTACACTACCTTAGAATGGTTCCCTATCATTATGAGTAATAATGGCTTGACTGTTCTTGAGAAGAAGATTTTAAAAGATTTTTTCCTATATATTTCTATGTAAAAATTGATCCCCTATTGTGGCCCCGCCCTAGCCTTTGGGGTCATGACTTGCACAAACTTGATTCTACACTACCTGAGGATGCTTCTATATCAATATGGCTAATAATGGTTTGGCGGTTCTTTAGAAGATTTTTAAAGATGTTTTCCTATATATTTCTATGTAAATTTTTGATCCTCCATTGTAGCCCTAGGATACCCCCGGGGGTCATGATTCGAACAAACTTCAATCTACACTACCTGAGGATGTAATAAAGGTCTCATATAAATTTCACTCACTTTTTTGGTCCAATGGTTCTTGAGAAGAAGATTTTTAAAAGATGCCACCAAATTTTCAGTAATTCTCTATCATCTCCCCTTGAAAGAGGGCATGGCCCTTCATTTGAACAAATTTGAATCGCCTTTACCCAAGGATACTTTGTGGCACCTTAGTTGAATAGGCCCAGTGATTTTGGAGATGTCAAAATTGTGAGAAGTTTACAAATAGAAGGACAGTTAGACAGAGAGACAATTAGACGGACGACAGACAAATGTGATCAGAAAAGCTCACTTGAGCTTTCAGCTAAGGTGAGCCAAACGTAACTACATATAGTACAACTGTTATAAAATAAAACTGTGTTATGTGAACATACACCTTCAATTGTAAGCTGGACTGACATGTCAGAGCATGCTCTACGTATGAACAATTTCTAAAACGAGGTAGGTTATTGACAAACAAGTTGATGAAACAAGAATATCAGCAGTCTCGTTTAAAGTCATCATTTCGTAAGTTCTATGGTCGATACAATGACCTTGTCAGCAAATACAATCTATCATTAAGTCAAATGCTGACTGACCTTTTTCATACTAATTGTTAGGCCACTTGTTAGACACACTGAATTGTCGACGGATTTTTTCGTTATTTCCCGATCATGACAAGGAGCACACGGCGGGTGTGACCGGTCGGCAGGGGATGCTCACTCCTCCATGGCACCTGATCCCACCTCTGATGTCTTAGAAGTCCGAGTTTGCTCTGCTCCTATTTAGTAATGTTTAATGGACTTTTGAGCTCGAATACTGTTCGTTATCTCCACATATTTCACTGGAACATTTAATTGAAAATTCTGAAGCATATTCGATGGTGAGAACTTAAAACATAAAACTACATTTTTCTGGAATTAAAATTACATGTACTTGAAAGACTTAAGAGTTGACAGAATTCACAGCAGCATGATGAAAGTAATGTAAATATTTTAATTTTGGAATAAAAATTTATAAACCTTGCGTCACAAAATTAAGTTCCTCGCATAATTCTTTTTAAAAGATTTTAATCGCGTTATTTTATTCTATGTAAAAAAAAAAATAGAGTGAAGGGCTCTTTAAATCCATTAACTCTATCCATTAAAGAGGTGTAATAATGAAAATAAAAAATATTAATTATGGTTTCTCGACAGCTGTAAATCATACAGTTAATCTTAAATTATAGCTATAGGTTATTCATTTAGTTTATTAATCTGAATTGTTGTTAGTACAATAGCTTGCAACCGAAAGTTTAACAAAAATATGTAGATTCAAGAATTGAGAAACAACAATGATTAAATAGTCATCTTTATCTCTGTTAACTATAGTTTACAACTGTTTTTTTTAATACATGTAAAATGATTTTACAAATGTAAATATAACTTATACGAGTATTTCCCATCAAAAGAAGAGATTCTTGAAAATCCTATGAATATGAATTCTTAATATTTACAATTTGTTCATTATTTATTTGGATTTGATGTGAGTTTTTAAATAAATGCCCAATATATTCTCGGAAATAACTGTTAATCCCCAAAACAGAGTTGTCCGAATTTGTAGTATGTTCATTTGAATGCGAGTAAAGTTAATCAAATACTCTTAATGCTGCTACTAGTAATATTGATACTGGCTTAACTGGTTACTATTGCTGATTTATGTAACAGAAAAACACCAGTTCTCTACCATAGGTCAGTTACATGTAGCAATTCACGTCACTTAGCTCCGACATCGAGCATCCAGTTAAACCATGCATAGAGTAAATGTATTTGATCTACATGTATAAGCACATAGGTAAGATCTATTAGATCTCATTAAGTGTTAATTAATAGACATACATGTATTACTTACGTCTTGAAAGGTAGCGTCTTTATTTCCAAGCTTTTCCTTAACGAGTTCTCCCAAAAATTCATACAAGGTGTTCATTGGCTGCCATCCAAGATGGAACACCATATTTGGTAGAAGACTTAATTGTCCCAGTCTGGCATCTTTGAATAAATGAGAATATATTGAAATTATAAACGTATATGTTACGCAAAGATTGTCAATTATTTAACACACAAAAAACCGTAAATATCCGCAGCATATTTATATGAACTAATATCTTTTTTTCCCCCATCTTTCTCTTTCTAGGATAATTATATTCACTTTTTCATAACAAATTTTTGTTATATCTGTTGAATTCAAATCTTTTCATGCTTATAAAACTGCGAGGAATTCATAACATAAATCAAAATGTTATATATATATAATTATTTATATTATTGATTAATAAATATAAACATTAAAAACAAATTGTTAAAAATATTATAAATTTTATATTTCCACGTATTTTTTAATAGCCCCGATAGCTTTTAAAGGTACTTAATGGTGACTTAAAGACAACCATTAAGCCATGATTAAGGACCTATAAATCAAGTGTTTCATCTTATGAAAAAAATTCAATTGTTATGAAAATGGTGTATAGTTCTTCATGTCCATAGCAAATACTGTCATCAGTCTTGCGTCACTAGCAAACAGTGCACACACCTGTGCTTGCAAGACCAAATAGCCTAGGTCTACACACTTGCGATCAGAAATCTGTGCAGGTGTTTTATAACCATTCCGTCAAAAACACACACACACACACAATTAATGATTAACATTATCTCTCAGAAGAAATTGTATTATAATGAACGATCAATAATCATGAAAGTAATAAATTGGTCAATCGAAGAATGACTACTAGATATTTTTTAATTCGTGAAAAAGACTGAGGAGGCAGCTAGCGTAGGAATATGAATATAGTACTTCTTATTTACATTTTTTGGGGAAAAGTGATTCTCTTCAAATCTTTTACGTTAGTTTCTTCCACATTACATACACATCGATATTCTAAACATTTATTTTTTTGTAATGTTGTTTCTACCGATCATGAATGGAACTATATTTTTTTTTCATAGCAAATGTGTGAAAAGTACCTTCCTTTAATAATATACCTTGAAAAGATAGTTTGCACTGATCGAAAATATTAACGGGCTTAGCAGAGAAACGTACCATAGAACGATCTGAAATCCTTTTCCAATACTTCTCTTATTTTCTGAGAATTGTAACCAAGAGCTGCCAAACAAGCAGTTATGGAACCTATACTTGTTCCAGCAAATCGTTTGATTTTCCTCATCAATCCCAGCTCCTCTAAGGCCTGAAATCAAAACAAATGCGCCACAATTGGTAATCCTGCAAAGGCATACCATTATGGATGATTGTCATTTTATTCCCTAATAATGTTCTATTACTTTAATAATAACTTTGCTCTGATTTATAATATACCTGCAAAGGGAAACAATATACATGTAGGTGAAAGTGGTTTTTTTTTTCATTTCAACTATTAAAAAAGTTACTTTTTAGTAACTTATTATGGACCGTTTATAATAATGTATTGCACTGTACTGCAAAATGGTTTCTTGACTTCGGTTTTAACTTATTACTTTCTACATGTTTAACGATAAAACATCTTTAGAAAAACAATTTATGCTTTAAGTTTTTTGAATGCTTTGAATTATTGCATAAATTTAATTCTATAGTTAAGAATGAAATGTCGAAAAAATACTGATATTTTTTTTGTGCTGTGAATCTAGTCTAACGAATCCAAACAGATGATACGATATGAAATCCCGGACACTTTTGTGCTGGGTTATTATGTAGATCGGTAATATTTTTCCAGATTGTTGAAAAAAAGGATGCGTAGCATTTTTTCTGTAAGATTGTAATTAAGAGCCAGATGAAATAGAATGAAATCATGGATCCTTCAGTAATCCTTTTTGAAAATAAATTCCAAAAAAATTATATCTTCCTCCACAAGTGACTTCCCATTTCACTGGTTTTAGGGATCAAGCAAAATTTATCACAATGATGGGACCGGTACAAACAGGCATGGGACAATGAATTTTTTCATTGAAGAAAACCATGGGACAAAAACTTTTTTTAGTATTAAGAACCCATGGGACAAAAACTTTTTTAAATGGGTTACAGTACTTAACTCGAGAGACACATTTATTATATTTAAACAAATTCTACACTGTAAAAAATGATGTTTAACTTGTGTTTAATTTTTAAACAGTCGTGTTTTACAATTAAACATAGTGGGTTTAAATACAAAACATTAGCGTTTTATAAATAAACACTGCTATTTAAACTGGTGTTCAATTAGTATGGTGTTTAATCATCCATCTTAAACTCGTAAAGTTCATATGCATCAAATCAAAAAATAAATTAGGTGTTGCTTCTCAGTATTGCTGTGTGCATTTGCCATTTGTATAATTTCTTAATTTATGAAGTAATTCCGCACATAATAGAAGATATTTTTCGACACAGAAAAAAATACGAATAGCCAGGCAATATGTTGACTTCAGATCATACCAATAGCAATTACAATTAACATTAATTTATAGTAATTTTGTGCAAAAAAATCATAATTTTCATAAACTGTTAAAGGGGAAAAAGAAACAAATATTATGATGACTTTTAGAATTGTATCAATATTTTAATCACCGGTGTTTAACACGAGCGTTCATTTCTTAACCATCATATGTTTATAAATTAAACACATGGTATTTATAGAGAAATTGCAAATTAAACACCCGTGTTTAATACGTTATGATAGAAAATGACGCAATTGATTATGTCATAACATGCCATTTGAACGCAGAAGATGCAGAATCGCGCATATTCTGACAAGAAACACCATATCTAGGAAGGAAACAGGAGGTATTTATACATTTCTTTATATAAAATCTAAAAAAAAGATTGTTAAATACATTAAAGATCTATAATACTTTTCATTTATGAAATGCAGGATGTTTCCTATCGTTAGTAATCGTCCTGAGTGCAATGCGGCCATGCGAAGCGGTAGACGATAAAATATTTGTAGTCTTTTAGTACTTTGACATCTAATTAATTTGCAGGGACGTTCATCTGTTATTGTGAATCCTGAGAAGTATACATTACTTGATAAAGGAAAGGGATTTTAAACGAAGATCATACTTAACCTTGAGAGGTGAGTTTAAAGGGCATTCAAAGAAAAAGGGTTACCCCACCCCACCCTCCCTACACACACACACACACACACCATTGAATTCCTGGTATGTAAATGTAATCCAATTACCTGCCCTTGATAAAATTTATGCTCCCTATCACGCATTATTATGATTATTTGCTGACCATACACAACACATGAGCGTTAACAACATGCAACAATACAAGTACCAACAATAATTTTCATCCCCAGCCCGCGCACTTTTAATTTAAGGAGACTTTACATTTTTGGGGTTTACATGATAGAAAATATCTTGGATAACTCCCTCCCCTTCTCTTAATTGTTGCTGTTGGGCTGCTCCTGCAGGTACATTAATATTTAATTTTTTAGTGTATACACACTACACAGTTTGTACGCTTATATGATTTATTTGTATTGCAGATTTTTATTCCAAACTTGCTTCTCAGTATGTATTATATAATTAAAATTGGCGTAAAGAATAACAATTTTTTTTCGATCTCAATGTTTTCTCATACAGAAAATTTTCTGAATTTGCATAGTGGATATTTTTTCAGGACATCTCTGATGAGAAGAAGGAACTAGAACTGAATAAAATTTTGGAGAATGGAAAACTGATCATCATCCGTTGCAGAAGAACCTGAATTTTACACACAAGCAGAGGAGCTAGACTGTTTAACTCGGTTAGAATATTATATGAAAAGTGAGTGATACCCCGGCAGTTTGCAAGAATAGTTAACGAATTTAGTTCTTTACACGTCAAAATTGGAAAATTTCTTCAATTAATGAAAGTAAATTTGTCACATGTTTAACTGGATTTATTAGTGTAATACATATATAACCCTTACCCAGACAACAAATAATATTTTCAGCCTTTTTGCATTATATTTATTTATGAATTTGTTTGTTTTATTTTTTTTAAAAAAGGATGTAAAGGACACCCTTGCCCTTTTTTTAAAATAATGTTTCAAAATTTTACTCCTGAAAAATATTTCATTGTATTAAGCGATAATGTATGTATTTTTCCCTATTTCAAAGACCCCCCCCCCCTTCCACCACCAATTTTATTGGATTTTAGTTCAAATGCAGGTTTTACAAGTTCATGCTAGTTTGTTTTGATAATTCTATTTTTCAACTTGAATTGAACTATGTATCTGTGTGTTAGCAAATGTGTAATTAATGCTATAATTGTTTATAAAGTTTGAATCCCTATTCAACATTAAATCATTTAGTAATTAAGCTTTATGTACATGTTCATCATCAAGCACCGTGTGTTTTGTACTGTTTTATGTTTGTTTTTAATAAATATGTTGAAAACTTATAAACACGTTTAAGTGTTTATTTATTTGGTAAATTAAACACGTTGAAGTGTTTAAAAATTGACGTATAAACATGTTTAAGTGATTATTATCTGTTGCATCGAATAAACATGTTTAAGTGTTTAAGTGTTTAGGTTGAACGTGTTTATTAATAAAACATGAAATGTTTAAATTTTAAACACGTACGGTGTTTATTAAGTAAACTCTTTGTGTTTATTCAGTGTTTAATCTTTAAACATTTTGTGTTTTTGAAGTGTTTAGTATTTAAACAGAATGAGAAAAAGTATTTAAATGTTAAACCTTATGTGTTTAGATTTTAAACATTCTAATGTGTTTATTTCTTAAACACTTCACGTAGTGTTTAAATTTTAAACGTGTTGAAGTGTTTATTATCTGTGGCAATTTGGTGTTTATTTTTAAAACACTTATTTTTTACAGTGTATCTTTTCAAAAAAAAAAAAAAAAAAAAAAAAAAAATTGTTCAGAAATTCATAGTATCTTTTAAAGTCAAACAAAGGATTCAAAGTTGCAACATAAATCTTCAAATTAATGCTGCATGCAAAAATTTACAAATTAACAAACAAATTTGATAATAAGAGTTATGAACAAACAAATTATTTCAACAAATCATTCGAAATATACACCCTAACAAATTCTAGAGTAACATCTCTAAAATATAGAATGATTTTAGGCAATTATGCGTGCTGTTCAATCCAATTCATTTATAATGAATAAAATATATTTTAAACTAAACTTTCATCAATGTTTGAAATAATTGTAATCTGAAAGACTCCTTTGGTTAATATATAAAATTAATTGTTAAAATTGTGCTTTTTGGGTTTTTATGGTTGCAATAATCTCACGAACATCAGGATATAACCATGGGACAGTAACTTTTTTTTTAAGTCTAAAGGCAGGGGACAATTTTTTTTTCAATATGAAAGCCATGGGACATGTAATTTTTTTAAATGAGAAATTTGTTCTGTACCGGTCCTATCATTGTGACAAATTTTGCCTGGTCCCTTATTATTGCCGTCGACATTTTCGATGTTTACGAATTAAGGACATACGCAACGTAGTTTGAACTTTATTGTCTTCTTCCTTGGAATTGAAGAGTTCCAATACTTAAAGGAACTGTGTGGTGCATTTTAATGTCTATATATGCCCTTGTACACTTCTTCTAAAACAAGTTTGGAAAAACAAAACATCTAGAATATATGTTTAGTAATTTTTGTATATTTTTCTTTGAATTATACAAGAATTTTCATCAATTGATATCTTTTCAAAACCCCTGGTAATGCATGCTGATTTTCTTGTCTACGAACATCTGATGGCACTATAATCTTAAATTAAGAATATCTTGAAAAATTATCAGTAGGTAAGGTACGTTGCGTATGTCCTTAAGCAAGTTTTATTTTCATCAAGACTTATCTAATCTATCACTTCTAAATTACTATCAAGTATGCTTACACATATGTACATGTAAAATGTATACTACAGATAAAACTTCGTGGACCCATGATTAAAATTATATTAATTATGCGATTTTAACGTCGTATTTTTCTAGATTTTATTATTCCATACCGATTTTCAGGTGTAATTGAGATTCCGATCCACCTCCCCGAAATCACTTCAGAAAATTAATCTTTTTAAAGTTTAGTTTGAGAAACAGGCAGGATAAAAGTGTTACATAACAACGTTTTTCCTTATGTGTGCAAGGATTGTGCTGTTCTGATATTGATAAAAGAAATTTCCATTTGTATTCAGCTTTTAGTTATTACTTAACAATAATTATTGAAAGTCATCTACACAGAATTGTTTCTTCAGCCATTAACAGTTTACAGAAGAACATTATGGAAATATATATATATATATATATATATATATAGAGAGAGAGAGAGAGAGAGAGAGAGAGAGAGAGAGAGAGAGAGCACTAGGAAGGACATCCTCATAAGGACAGGAGTCTTGTGTCAACTCATAGCCGTGGGACCCTTGACAAATTTCATTCGCTTTTATTCGGGCTTGCTTCTCTCATTGATAATCACCAATCAAATTGAAGTAGACAGATAATATAAAGGAAAAGATTCAGTTGACACCTAAATGCACGTGTTACTCACTGTGTCACCGAAAGCTAAGGAACGGGTGTTGTTAACAGATATAATATGATTTCATGCAGTATTTCTCATGTCTTCATTTTCTACGTGCAGCTAGAACACTGAAGTCTCATTTTATTACCGTTAGCGTACATGTATATATAAATATATAAATTATATCCGTCTATTTTCATGTTAATATGAGTAAACACGGGTGCAGCCCATGTTTTAGAAGATTCCTCTGTACGTGACTTGTAACTAATAGGAATTGTTTTGTTCCGGGTCTGGGCATGTATGACCAGCACTTTTTCACGCCTCTGTTTTGCTGTGTCATTAAGCTTAGAATTTGAATGTGGATTAAAATAACGACTTAAGATAAAGCATTTGCTTTTTGTGATTTTTGCATGTACATGTATACTGATAAGTTACGAATTGATATTTGATCTTTATGACACCTTTATAAGTAAATTGAACTCTGGGATATATTTTATAGCTTCCACATTAGTACTTCCATCACATTTGAAATTGACTAGTTTTTAAAGAAAAATAATTGAAGATTAAAGTTTTATTATTCCCAAACCATTTTTAGTCAGATCGGATACATAGAACTTGAGACAAACCAGTGTGACACAATGTTTAATTTTTTCCAGAAAGAATAGGGGCGTACAAGGCGAGCACAACAGCCTGCCAGCCCCCCCCCCCCCCGGGCTTTGAGACACAATATTTCTCAAATTTAAAAGTTCAAAAAATTGCTATTATAATATTCTTCAAAAATTGTGTTGTCAGCAATGACATATTTAACATATATTTTTTGAATAATTTATAAATTGATGAATTTAATTTTTTATATTTAATCCAATATACATAGTCAATTATAGCCCTGAAGAATTGGTTTTTGAATATGAATGGGTCAAGTCTCCATTCTACTTAAACGCTTAAATGGCTCGGAAATGAATGTAAAATCTGTTTCGTGTTTCAAAAAAATGGTATTCTGAACCCATTCTATATTAAAATCGAACTTTTCTGAAGAAAAGGTATGCTTCCACACACTCTTTACATAAGCCTCAGATACGGTCGATTGATAAGTATTTGTAGTGTAGTGGTTAACACGTCTATTTTTTCGCAAAATTGTACCCTTTGGAATCCTGTGTAGTTTCTTTTTTTCCCCTTATATCACATACGATAAAAAACATTAAATCAGTTAATAACTAGCTCAATAGAAAAAGAAATCAGATGTGTTTAAAATGATGATATTTCTAACAACATATTTTTTGTTTGGGAATATTCTTTTCTTAAAACTTTGAAATTGTCCCAGAGCGGGGGATTGACTCCACCTGATACATGTAATCCTCCATTCTGCAGCCATTGCTGTCAAGCGTGAGAGATATTGTTATTTCCAGAGATTATTCAAGTGTGACCGATTTAAAATTCCAAGCGTTTATTCAAGTGTGACCGATTTAAAATTCCAAGCGTTTCTTAACGGCCATTTTCGTAATGCTAAATCTAAGTAGATTTTGAATTTGCTGCCACTATGATGACGTTGGTTTCGTACCTGGGACTGACTATATTTTGCAAGGAGGCACATTTAATGTTCATTTAGTATTTTCTTCTGAAATTTCTTTTGCTTAGATTATCAATTAATATGTAGCTGAGTCTGAAATACGCAGACGACAATTATTGAAGATAATTAAGATTTAAAGCTCCATGTAAACACAAAATTTATGATTTTCATGTCGTTTATCAAATTTTTCAGATAAAACTGATTCACTATTTGGCAAAAAAAAAAAAAATTGTTGCTTAACTAATTGTGATTCCGAAGCCTTTTCACAATTTTCTGTGTTTATTGCGTGCAATAGATTAGAAGACAACTAACCATATTACAAGTGTATAATACAACAAACGATGAAAACAGTGTTTGATTACCTGGATCGCCCCTGGATAGGCCACGCCCTTAGCCCCACCTCCCTCAAAGACGAGGTTTTCAAAAGGAAACTGATCCACGTAACCTCTCAGGTCGATAGTTAACGAGGCATCCTCTTCTGATGTTTCTACATGATAGATTATGCACAAATTCTCTCTTAGAAAGAAAGAAATTACAGTGTAAAAATATACTGATGATGAAATGCTTACCTGGTTCCTTGGGATCTATGCTATCATTGTCATCATCCCTGTTGAGAAGTTCTTCAACGTAACTGCGTTTCGCGGCATCTTTTTCGGGTGTTTCTTGCGAACTATTCGTGGGTTGAGAAGAAAAACTACCTCCCATGACTATACCTTTAAGATATATATATTCATGTAAATATGTATGCTATTGCATTGCCTGTTCATGTTTCGGATATAGAGTTAATTTGACTATAAAATACAATGTCATACTTTATCGAAATATATTGATTAAATGAAAATGGCGCAAATGGAGTTTTTGAATATTATAAATTTTGTTGATCAATTTACATTTCAAACATTTAACTTTTTTTAAATTGAAAATAAATTTAAGTTTGATAGACATTTTTTTTCCTAGTAAGGAAGCTTAAGACATGAAAGTAAAAGGAAAAAAATAAAATAAAGACTAAAGCTATTACATGTATTGACTTATCCCTACCTTATTTCCTATTATGTTGAACTAGATAAGTTCATATGAATGCATCAACGTCAAAACATTAATGCTGTGAAATTTATAACATTATACCGGAAATAAGTGTATATCCTGTAAATCTTCATCAACAAGTACTAATCAGACATGTACATTACACTACACGCACGTAATTCCTGTTTCATTGTCATACCGTACACAGACTTAAAGGAAAGAAAAGAAAAAGGAAGATAAAATTCTTTTTGAAAAAGACTTTTCTTCTAAATTAATATATAACAAGAGATCCATGGGCCACATTGCTCTTTTGGGCATTTTGGTTAGAGGTGAGCAGAAATCAGTTCAGTATTGGAAAATTAAATGAATAAGTGGTCCCACCGTACCTGGGAGGGGCAGGGGAGGGGTCATGACCTAAACAACCTTGAATCTACAAGATGCTTCCATATATAACTAATCATGCCTTAAAAATATTTTAACTAGATTTTCACTTATATATTCCTGTGTAAAAGTCTACCCCCCGAGTGTCGTGATTTGAACAAGAGGCCCATGGGCCACATCGCTCACCTGAACACATTGGCTAGGAAAAAAAACAAAAATCAGTTCAGTATTAAAAAGTTTACATGGGGGGACCTGAATTTTAAACTAGCTGATGATGCTTCCATATCAATATAACAAAATGGCTCTGCTGTTCTTGAGCAGAAGATTTTTTCCCTAAATATTCGTTTGTAAAAATTTGATCCCCCATTGTTGTCCCACCCTACCCCCAGGGGCCCTCATTTGAACAAATTTGAATATACACTAACTGAGGATGCCTCCATATCAATATGACAAATCATATTTTCTTTTTTTTTCTTGGGAAAAAGATTTTTTCCTATATATACCTATGTAAAACTTTTATTCCCCATTGTGGCCCGACCTATCCCTTGGGGTCATGATTTGAACAAACTTGAAATGAGAATCTACACTACCTGAGGATGCTTCCATATCAAAATGACAAATCATGGCTGCTGTTCTTGAGAAAAAGACTTTTAAAGAATTTTCCTATGTATTCCTATGTTAAAATTTAATCACCCGTTGTGACCCCACCCTACCCCCGGAGGTCATTATTTGAACAAACTTGAATCTACACTACCTGAGGATGCTTCCAATTTAATATTACCAATCATGGCTTTGCTGTTCTCGAGAAGAAGATTTTTAAAGATATTTTCCAATATATTTCTATGTAAAAATTTGATCTTCCAATGTGGCCCCACCCTTACCCCTGGGGTCATAATTTGAACAAACTTGAATCTAAACTACCTGAGGATGCTTCCATATCAAAATGACTAATAATGGCTTTGCTTTTCTTGAGAAGAAGATGTTTAAATTTTTTTTCTATACAGTGTATATTCTTTTGAAAAACTTTGTTCACCCATTGTGCCCCACCCTATCTCCGGGGGTTATGACTTAAACAAACATGAATCTACACTACCTGAGGATGCTTCCGTATAAATATGAACAATCATGGTTTTGCTGTTCTTGAGAAAAAGATTTTTAAAGATATTTTCATATATATTTCCATGTAAAACTTGATCCCCAATTGTGGCCCCACCTTGGCCCCGGGGGTCATGATTTGATAAATTTGAATCAACACTACCTGAGAATGTTTCCACATAAGTTTCATTTTTCCTGGCCTGGTGTTTTTTAGGAAGAAGATTATTAAAAGATGCCATTATTTTTTCACTAATTCCTAATTATCTCCATATTGAAAAAGGGCGTGACACTGCGTTTGAGCAAACGTAAATCCCCTTTAAACAAGGATTCTTTGTGGCAAGTTTGGTTGAAGTTGGCCTAGTGGTTCTTGAGAAGAAATCGAAAATGTTAAAAGTTCACAGACAGACGGACGGACGCCGGACAAAATGTGATCAGAAAAGCTCACTTGAGCCTTCGGCTCAGGTGAGCTAACTAGCTAGAATCTAAACTACCTGAGTATGCTTCCATATTAATATGACTACTCATATCTTTGCTGTTCTTGAGAAAGTTTTTAAAGAATTTTCCTATATCTTCCTTTCAAAACTTTGATTGCGCAATGTGGCCAAACTATATCCCTGGGGGTCATGATTTGAACACACTTGAATCCACACTACCTGAGGACGCTTCATATAAATATGACTTTTAATTGCTTTGCTGTTCTTGAGAAGATTCTTCAAGATTTTTTTTACAATATATTAATGTGTATAACTTTAATCGCCTAAATTGTGGCCAAGCCGGAGACTTGGGGTCAAGATTTGAACAAATTTGAATCTACACTAAAAAATGAAGCTTTAACATTAGTTTAATCTTTTCTAGCCTAGTGGTTATTGAGAAAAATATTTTTAAAAGAGTCCATTAAATTTTTACATTTTTATATATCTCCCTTTGATAGAGGGCGTGGCTCTTCGATGGAATAAACTAAAATCTCCTTTACCCAGTGGTTCTTAAAAGAAGTCGTAATGTGAAAATTTTACCGACGACAAAGGGTAGCCCCCCCCCCTCACTTGTATACACATATTATATATGTGTATACACACACATATTGTATATGTGTATACACACACATATTGTATATGTGTATACACATACACATATATTTGGGAATTTTTTTTTTTACTTTCAGGCTCATTATGTAAAGGCAGAAAACATTTTCAACAAGCACAAAATGCAATGTGTGGTGTAATACGTAAGATTAGACAATTTTAATCTACCTTCGAATGTCTATGGGATTTATTTGATAAGTAGTTTTACCCTGTTATAATATGGTTGTGAAATATGGGATTTCGAAAATCTTCATGTTATTGAACGAATACAATCACGCTATCTTAAACATATCTTGATAATAAAAGCAGTACCCCAAATTATACTATACATGTAGTGTATGGTTTATGGATGAAGACGGTCAGTTTTTATTGTCCTTTATTATATATATTCCAGAGTTATAACATACTGGGCAAAACTTGTGTATGGAAAAGAAATTGTCTCTCATATTTGGATATTTTACTTGAAAAAGACGTTAATGGTAATCTAACAACCAAGCTTTATGATAAACGTGATGACTTAAACTTTTCAATCGTCAACTTCCCTTACTTATGCAGCAATATACCTTCATCACCTGCATACGGGGTATATATCTCTCAGTTGATTCGATACGCAAGAGCATGCTCTACGTATATACAATTTCTAAAACGAGGTAAATTATTGACAAATAAGTTGATGAAACAAGAATATCAGCTGTCTCGTTTAAAGTCATCATTTCGTAAGTTCTATGGTCGATACAATGACCTTGTCAGCAAATACAATCTATCATTAAGTCAAATGCTGACTGACTTTTTTCATACTAATTGTTAGGCCATTATTTACACACTGAATTGTCGACGGATTTTTTCGTTATTTCCCGATCATGACAAGGAGCACACGGCGGGTGTGACCGGTCGGCAGGGGATACTCACTCCACTATGGCACCTGATCCCACCTCTGATGTTTGGAGGTCCGTGTTTGCTCTGCTCCTATTTTGTATTGTTTAATGGACTTTTGAGCTTGAATACTGTTCGTTATCTTCATATATTTCATCTCTAGAATTGCATATTTGTTACTACAAATATGATAGACAATATGATAAAGGTTAAGCAGCGAAACCTCATCCTCACAATGTGAAGGTTTTGTGATTTCGGAACTGCATTCAGGTGTAAGAGGAGTTGCAGGTAAGGCTTGGCTACCCCTAAGTGTATTAGATGTATGGAAGGAAGGACATATCGATGGACACTTCCATCACTATATATATACCCCACTATATACCCCACGTTTTCAAGGAGAAGGTATAATATACAGTTATGGAATCGGTCTGATCCGAAATCACAAAACCTTGACATTGTGAGGATGGCGAAACCTAGAATGTTATGTTTTGGATATTTGCGGAAAGAATTCATGAACCAAAAATTTTGTTGTAAGTCGAATGCTAAATTTTGTGAAATTATGTGCTCCAAAGATGTTGAAATTAAAAAAAATGTACTAAAATTGATTGTTTAGACTTTCTCCCTCTAGCTAGACTTGAACATGTTGAATCCCTTCTCACTTGACCCATTGAATTATGTATATATATATGTGTGTGTTCTTTCTACCACATGTACCATTTACATGGTTTTGAGAGAATAAACTGAATTGAAATGAACTGGTAATAAGTGTGTTTGTTACATACAATTGTTTACCTTTATTTTGGAAATCCTCGATACCTTTTCAGTCATCATCATCTCCGAGAATCTTGATAAAGGTATTTTGTGCTTATAGTGGAATATTACCAAGGACACAGGTCATTTGAATCAAAATCATTAAAAAAACGCCTATTACCTATAGTTTGTGGTTCTAAACCAATTGAGCATTTTAAATATATATTTATAGAGGACTACCTGCTCATTACATATTATGCAAACATGTTGTTTGCTACAAATGTAAAATATGTTAAAATATGTTAAAAGTATGTTAAATATGTTAAAAGGCGAAAGCCCTTTTGTTGAGCCTGAAACGTGGGACAAAGGAAAATGAATTAATATTTCTGGTGGACGAATTGCAGTTCAGAATAATCAAGTAGAGGGGTTGCTAGGTAGAAGTAAAGACAGGCCCGTAGCAGCAGTTTCAAAAGGGGGAGGGGGCAGCTTCCCAAAAAGTTG